ACAGGCGTCCCACTCCCATAGACGTCCCACTCGCTCTGCTACCGTCGTCCCCCGGACACAATGCACCCTCATTATGGTTGTACCCGACCGGAAAGATCGTTTGCATGCAGTCATTTTCAGCGTGCGTTGTGTTCGGGGGAAGAGGGTAGCATCGACAATATTGAAGAGTCGTCATGACCATCGGCGGGAACAGGAGCTGCGACGGCACCGAGGAGGGGCGCTGAGTTCTCGGTCCAGTGAGGACAGGGGGAAAAAAAAGAAAATGGAAAAGACAAAGCAGGGCAAAAAAAGAAGGGGAAAAACGGAAACGCTTCGAATTGACAGTATGGAGGAATCGAACCAGCGACCTCACCCACAATCACGGCCGCTGGTTCGTATGAACAACAAGGAAAATGACGACAGGGAGAATAGAAGGGAAAAAGAAGAACAGCTCGAATAGGAAAGATGAGAGACCCCACCCACCATACCCTCTTCCCCCGAACACAATGCGCCCTTATTTTGGCTTTATCTGGCCGGAAATATAGCTTGTATGCAATCATTTTTAGGGTGCGTTATGTTCGGGGGAAGACGGTAGTGGCCAAATGCTAAACAGATTCAACTGTTGACGAACAGATCCAGAGTTCGAACCCTGAGGGGGAGACAATAAGGCTAGGGATCACCCCCCTCTTTTAAAAAAGGGGTAACTACGGCGCAGTCACGAAAACAGTTTGTAATTGCAATTGAAACTGCGTTTTAGCATTTTAGTCAGGGCTCGAGTTTCAATTGCAGTTCAAGTGGAATTGAAACTCGGGCCCTGACTAAACTGCTAAAACGCAGTTTCAAGTGCAATTACAAACTGTAACCCTGACTGCGCCGTAGTTTTCTCTTTAAAAAAAGAAGGAAAACATGAACAAAAGAAACAGAAACCGAAAAGAAAAAGATCAACTAAATGAAAATGGAAGAAGGAGATATAGCTTCCCATAACCGCCCTTTAAACAGATCCAGAGTCCGAACCCTTTACAGTCGCTCAATGTCGAATTTGATCCAGATTACACCAAGAACGCAGAGCAGAACAACCATCCAGCATCAAGTACTCACTTGCACGAGTCTTCGGGATGACATCTCGAGCAGCGATCGTTAAAACCTGCACAAGAAGAACAAGAATCGCAAAGAATGCCTTCTGCTCCATAGCCTTCCTCAGCGAAAATGAAGTGTCGCAGTTCGGTGCTCTCAAAGACTAGAAGCCAATCAACGTTTCCTGCTCACAAGAGACCAGTTGTGTGCACAGTGAGGCAATAGTCAGACGTTTCCGGAATGGGGGGCAAATATATATACATCGTAGAACAGAGCTTATGCATATGCATAAAACATGCATACATACACACACGCACACACACATATATATATATATATAGATGAGTCGGTGACACTCCGACGAAACAGTTTGTCACAGCCCCTCGTTTGTTGTCCTCTTCTCTCTCTCTGCCTACGGTTTACCGGGCAGTTCTGTTTGTGACGATAATATATATATATATATCGTCACAAACAGAAATATATGTATATATAGTCAAACACAGCTGCCCGGTAAACCGTAGGCAGAGAGGGAGAAGAGGACAACAAACGAGGGGCTGTGGCAAACTGTCTCGTCGGAGTTTCTAATATATATATATTGTCACATGATATCAGAGCGCCTAAGCGAAAAAACCAAAAAACAAAAAAAATCTTAAATTCGTTTTTAATCTTCTTCCTTACAACTCCCCCTGTTCAGAACCTCTTGCGTACAAGGCCGCCCACGTGGATGTAGGTTGAGCGGCGGCCGCCCCCACCCCCGTGTGTCATATCGACCCACTTGCACACAGCCAAAAGGCAAAGAGGCAAAGAAGAGAGGAAGGGAACAGCCAAATGAAACAAATAGAACAGAGGGAAACAAGACAGATCCCAGATGACAATATATATATATATATAAGTAGAAAAACAGAACTGCCTGGTAAAATGTATGCAGAGAGGGAGAAGAGGGCATCAAAAGAGGGGCTGTGACAGACTGTTTGGTGGGAGTTTCCCTGACTCATCAGGAGGTTGAATCCTCTACAGTCTGCAGAGTCCCTTAACTGACGATACTCCACCTTAGCCCTGGTTGTGGTGAAGCATCAACAACTGGACGACAATTGATACCCTGAGGTGGGTTCCAACCACAGTCCTCAAGATACCTGCGACAAAAATAGAAGCAGACTAGACTGCATGTTCACACCTAGCAAAACAGCAACGAGACAAAGGGTCTCCCTCCACTCCACTACTGTCCGCTGTACTATTTCGTATAGTTGGACTTCGCTCCACTTACTATACGAAACGTACCTTCAAAAAACTCCGTGTATTGTTGTCAGATAGCGCCCTCCAGATTCACCAAACGAACGATTCTGTATAGTTCCCAGTGTATAGTTGTTATTCGGAGGGAAGGTGGTCGGAGGAGGTCGGCGTTCTACCGCCAAATCGTATCAAGCACCTGGAATCTGGATGGACAAATTGCTGTCTTGTAGTGCTCTAAGGATGTTTTGTAGTGAGCTCAGGAACTGGAGACTTGTATAGCAGATAGTAAGTGGAGCGACGCCAGGTTTTATAGTACGTTTTTTCACGCTCTGACAGCTATACGGCAAAGATACGCAACTATACGGAATTGTGTATAGCGGACGCCGGACGCCAGACAGTAGTAGTGGAGCGAGACGCAAAGAAAGGTCTTTCCCAGCCAGCAAATAAACTCCATAGACATTGCTGGCACTAGAGGCCAAGGATGGGTATGTAGTGCCAGCCCCGTATCAAGGAGCTTTAGAAGTCACGGTATATATCATCAAACAGAACTGCCCAGTAAACCTTAGGCAGAGAGCTTCCCGGTAAACGGTCGGCGGAGAGGGAGAAGAGGACAACAAACGAGGAGCTGTGACAAATTGTTGCCTCGAAGATTCATGGACGCATGAGGAGGCTGAACCCTCAACAGTCTGCAGAATCCCCTACCTAACTGATTACACTGTAAGTGATAATCCTCCTTAACCCCGGTTGTGGTTAAGCATCAACGACTGCCCAACAACTGATACCGTGAGGTCGGCACCAACCACTGCCCATAAGCTACCTCAGCCTACCTGTTATGACAATCAAAGCAGACTATCACTCACCCACACCAGACGGAAAACTCTACAGACTGCAGGTTCACACCCCATCACAAGCCAGCAAAACACCCGCGAAGAAAGGTCTGTCACAGCCCAAAAATGCACTCCATATATATAGATATATCGTCAAACAGATGTATATATATATATATATATAGTCAAACATGTATATATATGTATATATCGTCACAAACAGAACTGCCCGGTAAAACCGTAGGCAGAGAGAGAGAAGAGGACAACAAACGAGGGGCCGTGTATATGTATATAATATGTATATATGTAGATATGTATAATATATATACATATTAGCAAAACTTAGAGTCAGCAGGAGGACCTTCCAATTCAGCTGGCATCGAAAAGCACGCACACACACACACACACACACACACAGAGTGAGCAAGTGAGCGACAGAGAGAGAGAGAGGAGACCACTGCCAATTCTAGGTCAAATGGCAAACATGGTTCTGCTTGAAGGTGTATATTCGCACAGTCTCAAGTAGGCAATCAGCACTGTCCACAAGGACGTAGACCCAAAAAATAAAGACGAGAAGCAATCAACCGACAGAGCCAAAAGTGAAAGGAATCAAGCGAGCCGATTACTGCGAAGTCTTACTGGGTAAAAACGGGATTATATGAACAGGGAAAGCAAGTAAACTAGAGAGGAGACGAAAGAGAATGGCAGACGAAAAGAAACATATAGAGCAAGCGAGCGAGAGAGAGAGAGAGAGAGAGAGAGAGAGAGAGAGTGCACCTAACTCCTGGAAAGCTTGATAGTCAAATAGAGCGATGTCGAACGGTTGGGAGTCTTGGGACACAGGATTGTGAGGTCTCGAGAGACGGAACGAAGAATAACGGGGAAATGAGACACAGAGAGTCCCACACACTTACACTGGAGAGCTTGAGAGAGTCCGAGTGAAGAATGACCGAACGATTGTGGGGAGCTTGAGAGTGACAGTGTGAGGAAGGATGACCACGGAAGGAAACACAGTAGATCGCAAAGATCGTGGACTCGTGGAGAGCTTGAGAGCTTGAGAGCGAGTACGAAGAATGGAAATGGAATAAAGCGCAGAGGACGACGCAAATATTCTCCGCTGCTCCCCTTCGTGTCATGTAAGCTGTAGACGCTGCGCTCGAGTTCAGCGCCCGACTTTTTTATACAGTCAACAAACAGACGCGGAATGGTCCCCCCGCTCGGCGGAATGGTCACCCCCTTGCTCCGCGGTCCTGCGCGCGGGGTACGGGCTTTTGCCGCGCGGGAGAGAGCGAATCACGGCGGGCACACTGAGGGCATGCTCAAGCCAGAAGATTCCTCAATGAATATCATGGTAATCACGGTCGGTCCTAAGCGTATGTGAACGCAATTACGGCCATCCTTAAATGCATGTGACCATAAATACGGTCAAAAACGTCCTCGTGCGGGTATGCCCTGAGCAGACATGAACTCCAGAGCGAAAAAAAAAAACAGCCCACTGGAATAACGCTGCAAGATAACAAACTTTTGCCGCCAAAAACTCTATTAGCAGTTTGGCGCCAAAATCGCCGTTTGGTTCACTGCTACGTTTTTTGTCTTGTCCTTGCCACTGCCTTTTTTTTTTTTTTTTTTTTTTCTCCGGAAATCTTGCCACTGCCTGGAAACTGCGGCGGCTAAGGAAAGGGAAAACCGAAAAAAAATAAAAAAAGGAAACTGCGGCGACGATCATTCAAAAGAAGCGACCCAACAGTAGTACATTCCTAGGAGTAGATTAGATCTTTTTTTTGCTTCGGACGCTTTGATCTCTAGGTTATCCAGATGTTTTGTGATCCCCCATATGGGATAGGATCACCAACCACTGTTTTTGGAACTTTTGCTTCGTACTACAATTAGAGTAGGACATGACAGGAAATCGTTGCCGGAATGGGTGGTCCGTGGTCAACAGTTTATCCATTTTGTGCATGATTTTTGGCCAAAATGGCGGACTTCCAAGTATTTGTTTGCCTCGGAGGCTGATTGGTATCTAGGTGGTCAGAGAGTGGTGTTACAGCGAGGCCTATTAATCAAAAGGATGAAAGTGACTAATAGTCGTGATGACCTGCAGAGAATTAATGAAGAGATGCAAGATCTGATACAAATGGCATCTAAGTCCAATATTGATGAGCAAACTTTTATGAACAGAATGGATTGTTTGCAGCAACGTTGGACATTTCAAGCCCAGCCAGCGATCAAGACTGCCATCCACAACAAACGAGTAAGTTGGTCAGTGAAAGGAGACCGGATGACTGCAAACTTCTTTGCTAGCCATCGTCCACAGCCTCGCCTGCAATTGATCTTGGCAATGCAGCACCCTTTTGATGACCAGGCGCCTTTGGCAACAGATAATCACTCGATTATAACTAATATATCATTATTCTACGAGAACCTGTTGTCATCACAGGCACAATACACTGAACAGCAGTTGCTTCATCAATTTCGAGATGAARTTWGRAACAGAGTTGATAAGAAATTGGATGTTATACAACTGACAAACTTAGAAGCAGACATCACTCTGGAAGAAGTGACTGAAGCACTCAGATCCCTGGCCCCTCATAAAACGCCTGGGACGGATGGGCTGCCTGCACAATTTTTTCGTCAATTCTCATTGCACCTGTTACCGGAATTGCTACACATTTGCCAGGCTGTGTGGAACGGAGCTGATTTCCCGCCTCAAGTGCTTCAAGGCATTATCACATTTTCGCACAAGAAAGGAGCAGTGACAGACATAAGAAATTACAGACCGATTACGTTGATGCCTGCATTGTACAAAATCTTTGCAAAAGTACTAACAGCAAAATTGCAAAAGGTGCTTTCACATCTGATTYACCCGACTCAAACCGGGTTTGTCCCGGGGAGACAGATCCTCCACAATGTGATGATTGTGGAACAGTTACTGGAACAGGCTATGAGAGAGGGCGATAGCTTTGCCATTGTCCTGTTGGATCTGGAGAAAGCATACGACCGAGTAGGATG